TCTACCTATCTAAGGTAGGACTCTGAATCCTCTCTTGGGCAGCTAAGGAAAGGTTATCTTATTTTAAGAAGTGTTTTACATTTGCCTACCAGTCCAATGGGAGGACTGTTTGAAGATGATGATTTATCAGATACTTCTGCTTTTGCTTCTTAAATCTGGACTTATGAACCTAACTTCAGTTACACTACAGAAAAGCAATGGTGTTCAGGCAGCAATTTGCCTACCAAATACTGCTTGCAGAGCTATACTAATTTTCTCACTGAGGCTGATGAACCAGTATTTACACAAGTGAAAAGAACATACTAATCTCCTTTCAAAGACCATGAAAAAGGCTGCTTAACAAGTGGAGGGAAAGAAAAAAATTGTAGGGCAAGAAACATAATTTTGAGTTTCTGTGAAGATATCATACACAATATAAGCGAGACCAAAAATAATCTCACAATAGAACCTGACATTAAAGAAGATTAAAGGGGGAAAAAAAACCATACAACCCAATCAAGTTGGTAAAGCCTAATTAACAGAGACCCACCCAGAGATCAACAAAATGCATTCTTTTCATTTTGTAGTACAAAGAAGCTGCATATATTGCTTGTATTAAAAAGCCCCTAAAATGAATTTAATTAACTATGAAAGGCTTGATTTTGCCTTTGGGTATATGTAAAAACAGCAGCTGATTTTACAAGATGCACTGTGATGCCTGATTGTGTAGTGAGAGAAGAATCAAAACTTTTAGGTTTCATTGCCTCTGTGCATTCAGAGAATTTTGTGGTCCAGAATTTAATTATATTTGACCACAGTCACAAAGCTTGGGTCAACATGTGAATTCAAATCCACACAGGGGAGACAGATCTTTCTATACTTCAAAATCTGGTTTGCAAGCTGTCACTTGAGAGTACCACTTAGATTTCAGGGAGCACACAGGAGCATTGTCCATTTGCAGGGAAAGCATAGGCAAGCCACATGGCTGAAAGTGAGAGGCCTGTAAGGAATGTATTACAGATACATGAAATGCAAAAGACTGAAGATTATTACACTGATTTAGCCACAGCCACACAACAATCATAGAATCATTGAATGGTTTTGGGTTGGAAGGAACCTTAAAGATCACCTAGTTCAACCCCCCTGCCATGGGCAGGGACACCTTCCACTAGACCAGGTTGCTCCAAGCCCCATCCAACCTGGCCTTGAACACTGCCAGGGAGGAGGCAGCCACAGCTTCTCTGGGCAACCTCTTCCACTGCCTCATCATCCACACAGTGAAGAATTTCTTCCTAATATCTAATCTTAATCTACCCTCTTTCATTTTGAAACCATTACCCCTCATCCTATCACTACATGCTCTTGTAAGAAGTCCCTTTCCAGCTTTCTTGCAGGCCCCCTCAAGGTTCTGGAAGGCCGCTATAAGGTCTCCCTGGAGCCTTCTCTTCTCCAGGCTGAACAAACCCAACTCTCTCAGCCTGTCCTCATAGGACAGGTGCTCCAGCCCCTTGATCGTCTTTGTGGCTCTCCTCTGAACTTGCTTCAAGAGGTCCAAGCCCTTCTTATACTGTGGGCCCCAGAGCTGGTCGCAGTACTCCAGGTGGGGTCTCAGCAGCCGTGAGTAGAGGGGAAGAATCTCCTCTCTTGACCTTCTGGCCACCCTTCTCTTCATGCAGACCAGGATGCAATTGGCTTTCTGGGCTGTGAGCACACATTGCCATCAAACGTCATCTCATCAAACACTCCCTTCTCCGCAGGGCTGCTCTCAATCCACTCATCGCCCAGCCTGTATTTGTGCGTGTGATTGCCCCAACCAGGTGCAGGACCTTGGCACTTGGCCTTGCTGATCTTCATGAGGTTTGCACAGGCCCACCTCTCCAGCCTGTCCAGGTCCCTCTGGGTGGCATCCCTTCCCTCCAGCCTGTCAGCCACACCACACAGCTTGGTGTCATCAGCAAACTTGCTGAGGGTGCACTCAATCCCACTGTCCATGTCACCAAAGATGTTAAACCATCTCAATCCCAATACCAACCCCTGAGGAACACCACACACTGGTCTCCACTCGGACATCGAGCCATTGACCGTGACTCTTTGAGCGTGACCATTCAGCCAATTCCTTATCCACCGAGTGGCCCATCCATCAAATCCATGTCTCTCCAATTTAGAGACAAGGATGTCATGAAGGACAGTGTCCAATACTTTGCACAAGTCCAGGCAGATGACATCAGTTGATCTTCCCTTATCCATTGATGCTACATCCTGTTGTAGAAGGCCGCCAAATTTGTCAGGCAGGATGTGCCCTTAGTGAAGCCATGCTGGCTGTCACCAATCACCTCCTTATTTCCCCACATGCCCTAGCATAATTTCCAGGAGGATCTGCTCCATGATCTTGCCAGGCACAGAGGTGAGACTGACTGGCCTGTAGGTCCCCAGGTGCTCCTTTTTTCCCTTTTTAAAAATGGTGGTTATGTTTCCCCTTTTCCAGTCAGCAGAAACTTCACTGGACTTCCAATGCATATGTCTACCATATAGTGCTCATGTTCCAATTATTTAACTGTGGGTAATTCCTCAACTACAGTAATACTTTTCCACAGTCGCATAAACACAAAAGCAAAGAGGAAATAAAAGATTTAAAATTAATGAAATTAGGAGATTCAAAGGAGATGCTACTGACTGTGGAATACCTCCTCTCTTTACCTCCTGCTTAGCTACCAGGGAGTCCTGGCACACACTTCTCTTCCACCTCTTCAGGAGCTCTCCTACAGACAGTCACATTAGGAGCCTGAGCCTACAAACTCTGAATCTGACGTGCAGGCTCTTAGCGTGCCTTGGGAGCACCTCAGCCAGCAGATGGGATCTCTCACCTTAAAGACTTTCAACACTTGACTGGGAACAGCCCCAAGCAACCTGACTTAACTATGAGGTAGATACTGCTGCAAGCCCAGGGTGGAGTAGGAACCTCCAAGGGTCCTTTCCAGGGCAGCTTTTTCCATGGCTTTGCCTAAGGCGTAGTGCCAATCTCACACATGCCTGCCAGCACTCAGACTGAGACACTCGGCTGCATAAAATTGCCATGGATGCTCCATCCCCCTGGCATATGTAAGGGCATAACCTGTCATCTATGAGCATCTCTCAGACCTTCCTCACAGCTCCTCCAGGATCTGTTTTCACAGATGCCCCCACTAACCAAAGTAATAAGCACCCCTTATCTCCAGGCTTGGATGGCTTGAACACCCCCCAGAGCAGAGTGGCTTCGCCCACCTCTGGATTTCTGGATACATGTCATACTACTGTACAGATTCCCTGGACTTGTGTCCCAATGCCTTAGTATCCCAATACAAGGCCATTTTTACACCAAACATACAGACAAAGTTAAGGCATGTCCCTCTCTGCCAGCCTGGGATACATCCCCGAATGCCAGCAAGTCCTATCAGTGCTGTGTAGGGAGGAAAGTAGAGAGCCTTTACTCACACCAACGCTCCCCATCCTGAGCTAAAAGGTATCCGTAAAGGACAGTAAAAGTCTATGCGCAACCTCTCGCAACTCATGCAACAAGACACTTGTGGTCAAGGGAAGGACATATTGTCCTTGGCAAGAGCCCAGCCTTCTACTTTTGTGCCAGTCTCTGCCTTCCTCACTCTAGAAGCCTGTTATAAAACAAAATGCTATTTCAACCAGCACAGTAATACCAATATCCCACACACAAGCTGGTTCCCAGAGATCCTAAAAAAAAAAAATGGCGTCTGGCTTACCAAACAAACAGCCATGCTTGACTGGCTGCCGACAATAAGTTAGGCCCACATGTCAGCTTCAGCTTCGGCTTCAGTGACTTCTGGCAACATTTTAGAATGTCTCCATGCTGGGACAGCAAGGCTGTCCTGAGAGCTGGTCATTCTGACTGGCTATGTCAATTGTCTTCTACCATTAAGGTTTCCCCTCATGGCATGACCTCCTCTTGCTATTGAGGAGGCTCTGATGGCCAAATAGTGTGAACATGCAGAAAAATGTGTCTTTAAGGATGATGCCAGAGGCATACAAAATAGAACAGTGTGGATGTACCCATCAGTTCTACCACAGCAGAAGCAATTGTGGACAGTCACCAGAGCAAGTCACTTTGAGAACATATTTCTTTTTTATAACAATTGGGGGGGGCGGGGGGGGAATTTAAAAAAAATCAGAAAACATGACAGAACACCTTTTCTCTATTGCTGTTTTAAAATCTGTCAGTGTTTTCTTTAACCTCTGATCGAACACCAACTGCTATTTGACAAATATTTTGCCAGTCATTGCACAATGGCTTTTCATAAGCATATAATGAAACACAGTGTTAAGGCAGTGCAACACTGGTCTATATCTGGAAAACAGAAAGGATGATCTTTTGGAGAAAGCATAGTATGAATACTCAGAATACATGGGCTTTTTAACAACTTTGCTATAGCTGTCCTGTTTCAGATTGTGAACAGATCATTTAGATCTGCCTCCACAAGAATGTTTGACTCCCAGAGCCTTTTGCAGTTACTATTACAATGCCTTTTGCTACTCTACATGTTAGTTTCCCCATCAGCAAAACCAGACTTAACCTCTCATGTTTCTTTCAGAGTAATAATTGTCACTGGTTTAGGAAGCCCACCCTGAGAAACTTTCAGCCTGATTGAAGATACTTCTAGGACTTCTGAAAGGCACTTTCAGACACCTTGGGCAGTGTATATGGGAGCTGTACAGAAGAGTCACAGTTGTACTGTTCATAAACAGCGAAGCTTTTTGAGAGCTTTTAACTAAGAGCTCAGACCTGAACCAAGGCATCAGCTAATGGGATGTGTCTACGGGGTACACGTACAGATGTGCATGCATATAGTAATTTGTACAAGTTCTTTGTTACCATAACATACTTATTTTTCTCCAAGAAACTGAAGATGATGCATACTTAAACCAGTATATCCACTGTAGCATGGATGGAAAACAATGCAAAAGGAGATTGCTCAACCTGCCTGTCTACAGCAGCATGCTCGAGAGCATCTTACCTTGACGTGGTGTATCAGGTGCTCAACTTCATTCACTTTATACGTCTCTATTCCTAACTCTTTAGATAACCGCAGGAGACGATTTTGTGTTGGCCCCACATAAGCTCCTCCAAGGTCCACATATTTAACTTGCTTATTCTAGTTTATCACAAAAGGGGAAAAAAAAGGATAAAAAAAGATAAGCCCTTTGTAAATAGCGCACAAGTTAAAAGAGGAATCCAAAGGAATTCTTTAAATGAAATACTCTCAGAGCATTTTGTCCAAGATTCCTCTCCCCATGGAAAAGTTCAATTCTTTGGTAGATTTCTGGAGTGGGGATTACCGAGAATCTTAGATAAGGAGTTCACATAACCAGCTTAGCTAGCTTGTTGTTACATTACAGCCTTAAACATGGGAGGGAAGAGCCTGACAGGCAGAGAGAGAAGGACAAAGTCAGACACATCTGTGCGGTTCTTGCTCAGTCAGGCATCTCACCAACGATTAGTTCAAAACAGACTGTACTAGGAAGTAGCACAGGTAAGATCTTCTAATGAGCAGAGAGTGGGAGGGGGCCTCCCAGGTCAAGGTAGGGCAGAAGGTAAAGGATTGAGGGAGACATGCTAGTTCTAGTTCCCAGCCACCCCTGCCATTCCTCTAGCCTACATCACTCCTCACAGGGCTTGTCATGGTTCAGCTCAAGGCTCTTCATGGCACAGTTGGCCTTACGGGTGTTTTTTCACAGGGATTTCTCCAGTGTCCCTCCCTGGGAAATGATTTTGAAACTTGGCTAATCATGTTCTTCTCCCCAGGGGAAAGGGCTGATGACTCCAGAGCCTGCAGATCACTTGGAAATACTCTCTCCCCATCATCATGCCAGTCTT